AATGAGGTGCGGGAACTACGGAGGACAGTGAGAACATATTCCGGGGGGGGGGGGGGCTAGGAGGGCAGGACTATGTAAGATAGTGAGAGCAGGAGGAGGGGAGGTAGACCACGTGACTCATAGGGAGTGTAGAGAGGGAGGAAAGTCAGGGAAGACAATGACAGGGGAACTTTAAGGCCAGCAAAGCTTGGTCCGTCACACACTTAACCTCACCCTTTAGAGCAGAGTTAACATTCCTAGAGGTCGCCTCGGGCTGGACCAGTTTTTGTGGCCGCTTCTACCGGTGTCCGGATCAAGTGAGGACGACGGGCGCCGGCAGGACAGGAAGAGTAAGAATACGACACAAACAGAGGAAGGAGGAGAGAGAGAGAGAGAGATAGGAAGAGTGCGAACAGCAAAGAACAGATTCACGAGTGACTAACACACTGAAATGTGTGGAACAAAACACGACGTGATTATGGCAAGTAACAACATCAGCAGACTGAGAAAGTACCTACGGGCTCACCATAGCTCGTGCTACTTGGAACTGCTTGTTCCAAGTAGCGAATCTTTAACAACATCAGCAGACTGGTAGATGTTGTCACACCGAATTAAACTATAAGCTTTAATTAACTTTTGCAGTTTAATTCAAATTCTTGATCAAAATTACATATTTGTACTTGACTTACAAAAATTACATAATAGTACAATATACACGTAATATACTGAACTACACTGAATACATACCATGAACCAAGGTGATAGCCGTGCTCTGCTGGTACTCTCGCTTTCCAGCAGACATCAAGCTAGCAACCCGTTCTCGCACTTTCTTATAGTCAATATTGACTTATTAAGTACGTGCATATGTGACATACTAAACATAATAGTTTATCTCGTAAAGCTTCATAGAAAACACCGACCTTACCTAACCTTCTTAGTATGTTAAGATAAGCATCTTATTGCTTCATAATTACAGTTATTACTTAACCTATACTCTATAATAAGTTAAGTAATAGTTGTAATTACGAAGCAATAAGATGCTTATCTTAACATACTAAGAAGGTTAGGTAAGGTCGGTGTTTTCTATGAAGCTTTTCAAGGTAAACTAGTAAGTTTAGTATGTCACATATGCACGTATTTAATATTTAACAAGAATACAATAGTGGGCTACATATGGTTGTTACAAAAATGATGGACATTTTTTAAGTATGATAAGAAATTTACAAGAAAGATAAAGTGGTAATACATGTAAGACACTGCACACAGAGATCACAATAGCGTGATGCATCAAATGAACAAATCCACAAGGGCTGTGACGAGGATTCGAACCTGCGTCCGGGAGCATCCCAGACACTGCCTTAATCGACTGAGCTACGACAGGGTAAAAGGGTTGAAACCGAAGTTCTACTGAACTTCTAAGTTCTAGCTTCTGAAGTTCTACTTACGTGATCCAGTAAGTTCAGTAGAACTTCGGTTTCAACCCTTTTACCCTGTCGTAGCTCAGTCGATTAAGCCAGTGTCTGGGATGCTCCCGGACGCAGGTTCGAATCCTCATCACGGCCCTTGTGGATTTGTTCATGTAAGACACTGTATAATGTGTATCACATCCTTACCTCTAGAATAATAAATATCTACAAGAGAAAATGTTTATGTATCCAAGTTTGAAACTAACTGATGAAAGGTCTACTCCGTATGTTCAAATGATATAATAAGTATATCACACACACATATATAACTATTTTATCTTAGATGTGTAATAAAAATGTACACTGGCGAGGCCAGCAAGTACTACATGGTCTTGGATACATTAGATCATCACGATAAACAGTGACCATGAAGTTATCTATAACGATAAGCGTTATATAACAGGCACTCATATATATATATATATATATATATATATATATATATATATATATATATATATATATATATATATATATATATATATATATATATATATATATATATATATATATATATATATATATATATATATATATATATACACACACACACACACAGTATAAACAATGATCCAAGTACAGTATGCGGAAAAAACTTTTTTCCGCATATGGGGCAGAGGAGCGGAGGTGACGTAGATGTGCATGGTTGTGAGGAAGGTGGTGGGTGGGTGTGGGTGGGTGTGTGTGTGTGTGTGTGTGTGTGTGTGTGTGTGTGTGTGTGTGTGTGTGTGTGTGTGTGTGTGTGTGTGTGTGTGTGTGTGTGTGTGTGTGTGTGTGTGTGTGTGTGTGTGTGTGTGTGTGTGTGTGTGTGTGTGTGTGTGTGTGTGTGTGTGTGTGTGTGTGGGGGGGGGGGGGGGGGGTGGTCCATTGTTTTTGGATGGGGGGGGGGATGATGTAGGTGCTGTAGTGTTTGTATTGGGTGCACTTATACACATCTCTTGACATTCAATCAAGTCCTATCTCTACTTGAAGTTGTGGATGACTGTAGCTTCCAAAACCTATTCTTGCGATTCCAAGACAATTGCGATTCCATTTTTCAAGTGTCAAATTCTTATCGATTTCCGTTTAAAATTTTTTCCTTAAATCACTTTTTCTGTTCCGTTTAGTATCTTATATGTCATGATCGTGTCTCCTATGTTCATTCTCTTCTAGATGTTTGGCTGAATTCCCTTAACCCTGTCATCACAGTTTATATATCCACTTAATTTGGGTACAAACCAGACATGACGGGGATGTTCTCATCGAAACTTAAAATATTGAATAACTTGGAGGATATCGATCAGGATTTTGATCCAGAGCACTTCTTCAAAATGTCAAATGTAACACACAAGGAGCAACGGTTTCAAGCTCAACAAGCCACAACGCAGGACAGAAAACATGAGATTCTTTTTCACCCATAGGGTTAACCATTGCTCCTCGTATTATGTGTGCTATTTAAAGAAGTGGTCTGGATCAATATCCTTCAAATTGTTCAGTATTTATTTATTTACCTATTTATTTATGTATTTATTTATATACAAGAAGGTACATTGGGTTTGTGAGAGTACATAACATTGGTGTTCTTACAACCTTGTAAAGCCACTATCACACAGCATTTTGGGCAGGTCCTTTATCTAACAGATAAAGTAAGATTATTAATAGGTACATTATAGCAAAATTTGAAGATTATTAATAGTTACATTGTAGCAAAATTTAAGTTCAACATAATAACAATATAAATTGATGGCCATGATTACACTGGTGAAGTTGCATGTATTAAGAACTAATATTATCATAGTGGGTAGCACAAGATACAGTGAGTTTGAAGCACAAAATAAGAAAATATGATGAAATTAGGTGCTTTTTGGATTTACTTTTGAATTAGGCATAGTTTAACTCCTTAGGGAGTGAGTTCCATTGACTAGGTCCCTTTATTTGCAAGGAGTGTTTGCACAGATTTAGTTTGACCCTGGGAATATCAAAGAGATTTATTTCTGGTGTGGTGTTCATGGGTTCTATTATATCTGTTAAGGAAAAGTTTCATATCAGGATTATCATTTAGGAACAAGATTTTGTAAATGTAAATAGCATAGGAAAATGTATGGAGTGTATGTTTTGCCTTTTTAGGGATTTTAACAGAGGGGCTGTGTGTTGCCTGAAGACAGAGTTGGTTATAATTCTGATAGCAGATTTTTGTTGGGTGATTATGGGGTTGCTGTAATTTGCAATGGTTGAACCCCATGCAAGATTGGGATAGATTAGCGAGTAGTATAATGAGAGGGAAGCAGAATGGAGAATATAATATCCGATTTTAAGAGTGTACTGACGGTTTTTGATCCTTTTTTTTTTTTACCATATGTTGTATGTGGGTGCTGAAGTTTAGTCTCTTGTCTATGTATAGGCCAAGGATTTTTCCATCATTTATATGGATAATGTTAACATTGTCTATCTGAAGTTGAATTTGGTTTGATGATTGACTTCCAAATAAAATGTAATAAATCTTTTCTATGTTGAGTGAGAGTTTGTTGGTTGACATCCATGAGTGGATTTTTTTTAATTCGTTATTTACAATAATATTTAGTGCATGGGGGGTTGGGGTCTGAATAGATGAATTTAGTATCATCAGCAAATAGTATAGGTTTAAGAATGTTGAGACACATTTGGCAAATCATTGATGTATATAAGAAATAGATGTCCTAAGATGCTGCCCTGTGGCACTTCTACAGTTAATGGTAGAATGGGGGAGGTTATATCATTGATGGCTACATATTGGTGTCTGGATCTGAGATAGGATCAAATATAGTTCACAACAAGGCCTCGGTTTCCATAGTGGTGAAGTTTAAGTAAGACGTAGTTGTGGTTAACAGTATCAAAGGCCTCAGGTCAATGAAGAGGCCAATTGGAAACTCGTTTTTGTCAAGGGCTGTGTAGATTATATCAAGTAGACTAATAATGGCATCGTTAGTACTCTTTTTTGGGGACGGAAGCCAAACTGGCAGGGACTTAATCTGTTTAATTTTACAAGGTATGAGTAGAACTGTTTGTAAATAAGTTTTTCAAATATTTTTTAAGAGTATCGGAAGATTTGATATCTGTCTGTAATTGTTTATGTCAGTCATAATGCCTCCTTTATGATCTGGATCACTCTTGCTTTTTTTTAAGGATACTGTATCAGTAAAAGTATGACATTCTAGAGATTTGTTGAATAGCAGAGCTATGGCTAGTGCAAGGACATGAGCAACACTTTTATATACGATAGATGATATTTCACTAATGTATTTTAAAAGTGTCAATGGTATCAGAACTGTCATGTCCAGTTTGCTATGTTTTCAGCCCTGTGACTCTCAACTGTTCTTCATATAAAAGTCTACAGTATTTAGTTCTGGGATGATTTGTGTCCTCTTAATTCAACCTCACCTCAACTGTATAATGTGAACAAAGTTACTAAACAGGAGTCGAGTTCTGCATTAAAGTACGACACATTGTGCAATAAAGACAAAGCTTCTAAAGCAGTCTTCCTAATCAGCCCCTTTTAAAAAATCTAGTGCAATTACCAAAAGATAAAAATTATCACCAAATTTTTCTAATTTTATTGAAATGCTCTAATTTAAAGAAAATTATGCACCTCTTCTACAATAAGAGATTAACAATATACAAATCACTACCCCTACATAAATTTAACAATCAACTCGTCTAACTATTAGTCCAGGTAGACCTTTAATTTTACTCATTTTAATTTATTTTCATCGAAATTTGCAAACCAGTTATCCAGAAAGCAATATGAAGTACTGGTACTGTACATGTATCCAAACACAACGGACAAAAGATTTACACCAATCACCAAGAGTTGTACAATAAAACACTATTCCCCAAAAATATGCTTAATATATATAAATATAATAAATATATTTATAAATACTGAATATATATAAATATTTATAAATATACTATTATATTAATATAATATATATATATAAATATACTATTATATTAATATAATATATATATATAAACATACATATATATACACACACATGGTGGGTTTCACAGTTGAACCCTGTGCTTTGCATGGATCTCTTTCAACTAATATTAACTTAAATAATTGATATCACAGTTCATCCCTAAATGTTGTAAGTATACCGGCATTTGGGTCTTGCAGCCAGTATTTAAATGCTAGAAGTGCAACATTTTTTGCTCCAATTGCACTCATCTCCATTGCACTTCCTGCCCATTCAATGGTATTCACATAATAAACTCCTGGAAGCAATTCAAAGTTTCCCAATTGTTGATCGGAATCGTAGCGAGGATACGCTAACCAATCAATCACATCGGTGGAGTTGCGTTTTTTAAAAAATATATCCAACTGTTCCTCTCCTAAAGGCACCGAAGAAAATATCTTCCACACATCTGGAGAATTTGTCTTATCATAATTATCAACAGGGCATTGCTTTCCAAATGAATTAAAGATGAGCCCAGGATTTGATACTAAAATTTCATCAATGTCATCTTCTGGTGTTAAAAGGAGACTTTCAGGTCTAACTTCTCCTTGTACCATTGTACAGAGAATTCTTTCATAACGTCCTGGAAACTCCAAGTCCTTTGTAAAATTAACCAACTTAATTGAACTTTTATCTTTGGTTAGAGGTGCAGCAAAAATAACAATGTCATACTGTTGAGTTCGAGGGTCATAGGAAGAATTCATCTCTGGGATATTAGGATTCCCCTCGGTGAATAGATTTTTAACTACTGTCTCAGTTGAGGTGACCTGTTGTGGAAGATATATTCTATTATAAGATTGAGTAAATAGAAAAATTCATACATATATACTAACTTGTTCATTTAGAAAAATTTATTATAATGTGTAGTTTAAATTTTATTCTTAGATAGCCATAATAGGCCATAAACAGAATTTTTGTGAACACTTTTCCTCTTCCAAATACCGACTCTGTATACTTAAGAATAATATTCAACTACCTACTTCACTCTCCACCCTCATGATTCAAAATAATTAACAATATCAACACCAATACAGTAGTACTGTAGGGTGGACTAAGTCTCTATGTTCAGTGTCAAAGGCAGAAACAGACCTTGAAAGAATCCTCATCAAGATGTATCTCCAATCTGCCTTTTGACATCATAACAGGGGAGTCAGACGAGTATCACATTACTGTTATGCACATAATATCTGGATCCAATTATTCATGCTTAAATATATAATCCTACTTGCAGGCCGGTTATGAAGGATAATATCAACCAACCACCAGAGAGTTCAATTTGCATTTGTATTCATACATAACTTTGCTGTGCAATTGGCACAGTCTTTAAATTATTTTAATCTTAAATTAAAACTCCAGTGAGCTGATGGAAATACCCTGATATACTGTAATTTAAAAAAGCAGTAAGCTAACATGAAGTAACTGATACATGTAAACCAAAACAGAGCAATTATGAAAACTTAAAAAAAATTACTTGTATAAAAATATGTTAAATAAAATGTTACTCACTGTAAAATATCCCTTATTCTGAGCAACCTCCGTAACATAACGTCTGAGATATGCAGCATGAGAGTTGATGAGCAGTTCCTCTGCCACTCTTTTGTTACCTCCTAACACTGACCACAGCTCTTCATCAGCAGCAGCCACAGATATAGCTCCTGTAATAAATCAATTATTTTGCAACCAAAATTAGCTAAGAAATTTTCATTAATATATCTTATGACTTCAGTATATGGCTTTGTTATATTTTCTACAAAGCTCAGTTCAATTGTGAAATGGGAAATTGAAATGGGATGAAATTTATCAACTACTGTGATGTATATCTAAAAAAACAGAAATAATTGTTTAAGTTCTATAAACAATAAAATAACCATGCTTTCCTTTGCATAATCTAGATCGTCTACATAAATTACCTACCAGAAGGAATACAGATTTATTTATTTTTTTTTTTTTTATATACAAGAGTTCTTACATTCTTGTACAGCCACTGGCACGCATAGGGTTTTGGGCAAATTATATGAACGTGTTTGCAGATGATGCTAAGATACTGGAAAAAATAGGAGACTCGGACAATTGTCATGCCCTTCAAACTGATCTAGATGAAGCAAGTGCTTGGAGTACCATGTGGCAAATGGAATTTAATGTGAATAAATGCATGTTATGGAACAAGGAATTGGAGAAAATAGACCACACATAGAACTTACAAATTATGTGGAAGGGAATTGAAGAAATAACAAAGAGAGATCTAGGGGTGCTTTTGGATAGTAAACTGTCACCAGTGTAACACGTAAAGAACACTGTGAGAGGAGCGTGTGCGTCGCTATCCAACTTCAGGATCGCTTTGAATGACATGAATGGTGAAATTACTAAAACTGTTCATGACTTTTGTGAGACCAAATTTGGAATATGTGGCAGTTGTATGGTGCTCATACCTCAATAAACACATCAATAAACTGGAAAAAATGTAAAAGCATGCTATAAAATGGCTTCCAGAATTAAACATAACAAAGAGTTACAAAGTGTGGCTAGAGCCGTTCAATATGCCAACACTAGAAGATAGAAGAAAAAGAGGCGATATAATTACCACTCACAAAATACTAACAGGAATCGACCAAATTGACAGAAATTCCTAAAACCAGCCACTTTAAGAACAAGAGGACACAGATTCAAGCTAAGGAAACAAACACGCCAATAAAATATTAGGACATTTTCTTTTTGCAAACAGTGGTAGATGGTTGGAACAAGTGAGAAGGTGGTGGAAGCCAAAACCATCAATAGTTTCAGAGCATTATACAACAAAGAGAGCTGAAAAGACGGGACACCATGAGCGTAGCTCTCATCCTGTAACTACACTTAGGTAATTACAAGTCTGTACTGTTTTAGTGTTTTGGGAAGACTATGATCTCTCCCAAGGCTTGAACTTCAAATGGTTATCTGTGACCTACAAAAATAAAAAATCTCCATTTTTATTTAATGGCTTATATCAGCAGTTAACACTTACAACATATTGTACTGTACTTCATTAGTGCTTCTTACACCTGTTTGGAAATACATGCTATCAAAAGTGTCCCTAAATTTATAAACAAAACTAAAAACTGGTACCCCAGAATCACAAAGTAATCAGCCAAAGCCTTATAAGATGGGGAGAAAAAAATACTATCGTGAAGTATAATAATAAACAAAAACATTAGGCATTAATCCTTCCCCTCCCCCAGAATCAAATCACAAGAAATGCAAACCCTACCCAGATTTAAAAACAAAAGTTGGTTCTTTAAGAGTGACAACATATTTGGTACCCAGTATGTGAGAAGGCAAATTGACCCTTTTTTTGTGACAGAACTGCATCTGCTGGTGCACTTGGGTACTAGTGCCTTTGTTGACACTGGGCAAACTAACACTTAACTCGTTTTTTATCATCTCTTAAATCAAGAAACTGTGTTTTGTGTCACCTATACTTTCTGGGCAGTTTCTGTTTTGAGTCAATCTCTGATACCCATGCTCATTTCACCCATATGAACAGAGCAAATTCTAGTTCTGATCAGTATGCCTGCACAAGTCCAGAGGCCTGTAGAATCACAACTAATGTTCTGGCGAGTTACCAAGGGCCACAAGTGCAATTTTTATCATTGTTTTGAACATCTAGAAAGAGGTTTCACATCTGGTACAGTTTGGCAAAATATCGGGTTTTATAAGACGGAACTTAGACCCAGTACATGCAGCCATCTGTTGGCAATAAAAGCAAATGTGCTAAAATTACAGTCCAGAATGTCCCCTCAAACTTCCCACCAACACACTTTCCTAATTCTAAAACAAATTAGACATTATTAATGTATATAGTATTTTGTTTTGAACATCATTATATGCTGTGTGAGAGTTTAATACTGTATAGAATTAAACATATTGGAGTTTAATTAAAAGCATAGTGATAACTTTTTTAGATTTATGTCAAGGTTCTTTAGTAATTATGCACATGGGTTGTATTGTATATATATATATATTGACTGTCTTGGGAACATTTGTGGCTTAGTATAATGTTAAACAATACTTTAAGAAAATTAATTTCTTTATTTTTAAAGAAAATTTATTTTAATGTTAAAGGAAAGGGCTAGATGTCTAATTACATTAAAAAAAATTTTTATTTGAGTTACATTTCTGGGTGGGAACACAACAGCCTAGAGGAAGGTGTAGCCCAAGTGTAACTGAAGACCAATAATGAAGGTGCTCAGCATGAAACATTACTAAGCCTCAAACTTTTAAAACATTAAATGTTTATTAAATAGATTAAAAACTTTTGCTTACCTAAAGCAATCTTCCCATACATAATGGTATAAAAGCACTTGTAACTGATATTACTCACCAACAAATGCATGAATACTTGGAGTCTGTCCATAATTGCACTGAGTAACGGCAGTGATTAATTCATCAATCATCAGTTCATGAATACCAATTTCTTTGAGCCAGGCTGCTAAAGATTTTTTTGTCATCTCCTGGAAGTTGGGGTGAATAGCATGAAGCAAGGAGGCTACATCTTTAAAAGCATATCCTTCCGACTGCAGTTTGTAAATTCTACAAAAGAGTAAAAAATAAATATTTCAGTACTATATTAAACATGCACGAGAGTAAACAGTGATAACAGAAAATGCAGACAAGCAGTCCAGTACACCTAAAATATAATGCTGTGATACCAATTGTGGAGAAATTAGGTGATTAGGCATAGAAATGTTGTTATCCATGGTATTGTCGTTGACAATTTATATGACTCTGGTGTTGATCACTTAATTCCTCTATGTTCAAATGGCAGCCCAAGGAATGCCAAGTTCCAGTCGGGCGGCAGTTGGTGCCTCTGGAGCCCTTTTTCTTGGCTGGCTCTGTAGCTCGAGCAAATGTTTCCTGTCAGCTGTTTGACGCTCCTAGTGCCCCTATTCTCCATACATATACATACATACCTATATATATTGTTATTTGTATCTAATAGCCAGAACCTCACTACTTGGCCTAGTATACAAGGCTAGTATTTGTCTAACAAGCAGAGTAGGTTTTGGTATGTTCAAATATTGCTTTCCAAATTGGTTTATGGCAATCAGCAATATTATATTACATTAAGAACATAATTACGGACAGTTATGTTGGATTAGTTTAGGATAGATTAGGTTAGATTTGATCAAATTTGTTAGTTTTAACTCAAATTTTAAAAAATATATATAATGTAATGATACATTGTTAATCCAGGTAGCTACTACAGTACAATATTAACAATTATACTAATTATATTTATACAATATATTGTCACTAACTTACTTGGTAAAGTCTCCCAACATTTCTGCTGTCAACCTATTAAGACGATACATATCCCATCCGTACCGCCAGAAAAGTTTTCCCAAGCTGATAATATCCCAGGCACTATCTCTGAACACATATGTTTCACCATTGAATATCCCCAATTTTCCTTTACAGGTGTGCCTCGGTTCCAAACCTGAAAATTATTTAAAACAATTTCTTATTGTTAATACAAGCAGCAATCAATAAGTACTGTAATAGAATATTGTGAATATTGTATGGCACCAAGGGTACCATGTATATCTAAGAATAAAGATGTACCAAAATGCTTACATTTGTCAAATTACCTGTACCCGCAGTTAACGAAACATAACATTACTGTAGAGCCCAATGCACATTAAGACTGTCTATCAAACTTTGGAATCCACTATGAAGTAGAATTTTTTCATGCAAAAGTACCAAATGATGATAAACATTCTCAGCTTCCATATCTAGGAATGGAAACACCATAAGACTAAAACCAGCCATAAGCATTGAACATTGAATGCTGTCATTATGTTTGTGCATACATCCTAATTCTGGTAATATTTCATGCTACAGTATTAATATTCTGTACTACCTGCTTCTAAGTGGTAAAATAATTCACGATTCAATTTTATGCAATAGAAATTTTAAGATGTACAGTACAGGTACTTGTATATATACTGTATATACTTTTTAACATGGGTGGGTACAAAAGTAAGCCTATTGACAGGCTAACAGCTCCCCCTCCAACTGCTTATCTAAAACCTCATCCTACCAGTTATCCTTTTAACCCAATCTGTTAATCGACTTACAACCAGGTTCTCAATTAGCACTGTGAAAACATGGGTAAATAGTTAAGAATCGGTAACCAATTGTTTCTACCCTTCCTATAGGAATGAGTAATGATTAAAGACTAAAGGAATTAAACCTCACATCACAGGAAGGCTAAGAGTAAGGGAGATATTATAACATTGTTATGGGAAATGACAGGGCAAATAAACACATCTTTAAATGGTGGTAGACTAACATTGGGACACACACATGCACATCAAGTATCCAAATGAGCCACAGACACATTAGAAGGAATTTTTTAAGCATAGTAGTGAACAAATGAAATGCACTATAAAGTTACTCCATATACAGATTCTAATGCAGATATGACAGTCCAATAGGCTCAGGAACCTAAACAATTGACTGAAGGCCAAGAGGCAGGACCAAAGAATACAAGTTTAACCCTAGCAAGCATAATTAGGCATGTACTCATGCTCCACCCACTCCTGAGTGGGTGGAGCATGAATACACCCATGTTGAACCCTCTTGTAAACACTATTGTGCTTGCAGGGGTAAACTTCAGCAATTTGGTCTTTCAATTTGGATTTCTGTTCGGATCTGGCAAAATTTGGTAGAAAATTATTCAGATGTTATTTTGGACAGATATCCCAAATACAGGATTAGGTTTAGCAGAATTCAGATACGCGAGCATATACAGCACTGTAGTGACACATGAAATATGTACGATTACAGTACTTGCCATAAACAATAAAACCTGACATTAAAAAAATTGAAGTCCTTACCTAATTTTGGTACAAAATTGAGCATATACTGATTCTTTGGATGAATAATAGAGCCGCCAACCTCATACTCGTGTTCACCTATTGGAATAGTGGCCAATCTGCCACCAATCCTCTCCGACTCGTAAAGATCAATTATTACATTGTCTCCAAACAATTCTTGCAAGAAATAAGCTGTAGCTGTGCCTCCTATGCCACCACCAACAATAGCTGTGAATAAAGGCACAAAATACAATAATTAATCTACATGAAACAGCATGCTTTTACACATTTGATACTTTCATATTCTACCAACAGTAACACCCAGTGTTTTTCACATTTATTTATTACAAATTCTCTCAAAACACACACTTTTCAAGTAGGACTAATTCTCCAAGCATATTGCAAATGATTATGAATCAGAATAGATAAGAAAAATAATCAATGTTCTACAAAACTTTAAGAGAGTATACATTTATTATAAAAAATTACACATGTTTCTACAGAAAGTATCTGATCAGCAAGGTTGTAATGGCTTAGCAGGTCTTTAGTACTTTATACTTTGTACTTTGTACTTAAGTACTTTATACTGCCATCAAGTCTTGCTTATCAGGCTATCACCAGACAAGTCAGCTCTGCAGGACTAAGAGCTTAAAACAAATCATTAATAAAACCAGAGGTAAAGAGTTACATTTGAATACGTTTATGTACAAGGCCTAAAGACAATTACAGTACTACTGGAGAAAGGTTCACAAAATTAAAAGTTCCCTAGGTGCCTTTAGGAATATTTAGACATGCACTGGTGTACACAATGGGGAAACTAATAAACTAATGAGTATACAGTGCAATGAATTACCTATTTTTGGAAAGGTTACAGAGATTTCATCTTGCAAGGTCCATGATCTCCTTACTTGAGTCAGGAAGCCCACTAGGCATAGTTTATGTATTTGAAGCATATTGCAGATGTATCTGAATAAACAAAAGAGGTGTAAAGTTTTATTAATAATGCATAAAATACAACATATTTTGTGGACAAGTTACAATAACAACGCTCTTTATGGGTAACAGTGTACTGCAATAACTCTGAAAAACCTTCATAACGTTCATCTTACTGAAACCAGAACACACTGAACAAATTGGAAAATATTAACCCAGACTACTTCTTTAAAAGTTCCAGTGTAATGCATACAAGGAGCAACAACTCCATGGAACTGTTGCTTTAAACCTATATAGGAGCATAAACCCTATGGGTGAAAAAGCATATCCTGTTCTCAGTCTTACATTGTGGCTTCTTTTGCTTGAAACCTTTGCTCCTTGTTTGTGTTACATCTGATTCTTTGAAGAAGTTATCCAGATCAACATCCTCCAAATTGTTCAGTATTTTAAAGGTTTCGATGAAATATGCAATCATGCCTGGTTTGCAGTGTTGTGACCTTGTGGGCATCAACTGTTCCTGATAGGAGAGATGACTTAGATGACTTAATAGGATAAATGATTTACCAATTCGAATTTGCAAAGTAGAGGAAAAAAAAGGCACTCCAAATATAGGTAAATATATAAATGACAAGATAAAAATCAGCAATATGCTAAATTAGTTTGTTTCAGTATTTACCAGTGAAGATCTTGCCAACTTTCCCAATACAGAAGCAATATGTTGTACAGGGATGGAGAAACACTTGAAAGTCAAAAGAAAATGAAAACCAAATTAATAAATCAGGCCCAGATGGGGTGTTCAGGAGTCTTTTAAAGAGTATTGAGAGAAAATCTTGGCCTGTTACTAAGCATATTTATTAAATTAATCAACAGAAAGTCCCTACTGCCTGTATGGTGACCAATGTATTCCCAATCAGAGAACTACCATCCCAAGTACCCTGAAGTCAATACCTGCACCCCACGAGAGGTTGATCAAGAAAGCTGAGGCCCAAGGCATTATAGGGATTTTTAAATTATATGAGCCTAGTTGAAAGATAGGAAGCAAAGTCAATGAATTAAAGTTGGAGTGGAGAAATGTTACTAGTCGAGCATCCCAGGGGCTGTTTTGGTAACTTTGTTGTTTGTGATACTATATACGGTAAGTCACCACCTATATGTTTGGGTCAACAGTAATATTGGCAAGTTTGAGGACAGTACAAAAGTGAAGCGATTAGTTTATTCAAACGAGGACTCTGTGAAACTCCAGAAAGTCCTTACAGCATTTAAATCCTAGGCAGAAAATTGGAACATGCAGTTCAACATTGATAAATGCAAAAGTTCTAAGCTTATGACAGTGACACCATAATGTAAAATGTCTTATACCAAAGTTCTTTAAAATTCAACGGAAAATAATAACCGACCAATTCCCAACGAAAAGACTGATGTATACTCGGTATCTGCAGGTTTACTTTGTGTCTAGTCAAAGAACAAAATTTATTATAGGAACAAGAAAAATTACTTGATAGATATCTATTCGGCTTTGTTCTTAACCCAACTGGGGATTCCAGGTTCAATTCCTGTGTGGGACAGAAATGGTAAGGCACATTTCTTTTTGCCTAATGCCTGTTCACCTAGCAGTAAACAGGTACCCTAGAGTTAGACAACTGTTGTAGGGTTGCACTCCGGGGAGGGGTCAGCAGTTCAACCTATGGGGAACCTCGATACCAGCCTAAGGTATGGTGCAGTCATCGGGAGGATGAACCCTTCATGCAAACTGCACCTACTATCAAGAAGAAGAAGCCTAAGGTATATACAGAACTATATATACACAGGCGACATGATCCCAACAAAATGAATGATTAAAATTAATAAAACTTTTTTTATAAATTAAAACTTCATCTTAAGCATGCGTTAGGTGTAATTATCATAGGTTACACAACAAAATTTATAAAAACCAAGTGTGTATAACAATGTGGGTCTTGGGTGATGGCCGGTGTTAAATGGCGCGTCAGTGCTGGTCAGAGCAGCAGCCTCGTCCCTGTCAGCCAGCAGCGACTCTCCTCACCTCTAGCACCTGACACTACTAGGGTACAGTCACACTGAGGAGACACGCCACTGGATCATCCTTCCCTCCTGTAGGGGCGCAAGAAACTCTTTTTCTTGCAGAGTAATTGGCGAAAAGTTTTACCACCGATCGCTGGTTAGGTTTAATGATTGTGGTATTTTGATTAGCTCATGTTGGTCGCTTGTGTTTCGACTCTACCATCACGTTTTCTTTTATAATCCAAGGTCAATTATTTCAACTTATTATATTATTTGTTTGACACTAGAGGGATTTATCAATTTAAATGTAATTTAGTGACAGCTGATAAAAGGTGAAAAGTGACTAGTTCTCACTTTAGTCTCTCCGTCGGGTATCCTTATGTTGTTTCCTTTTATTAATTTATTATTATTTATTTTGATTTTTTTTATTAAAAGAGACCGAGCCGCTGGGACGTTGATCCTCGGAACCATTACAAGGTAACCACAAGTTAAGGATCAGTAATGACTTGTCATGGCGGATTAGCAGGCAAGTGAACTAACTTGGGCAGTTGCATCAATAATGTGACTGTCAGTGTGGGTCAGACCTTCAGGTCAGTTGGAAGTTTTCGCATATATTAGTCATCGCTAGTGGGATTTCCTTCTTGATCTCTTTGTTACGTTTGGAAATTATTTGTGTTAGAATAAGGAACCGAAAATGAGGAAGTGGTCTAAGTGCCGGAAAACATCTAAGGTTCCCTTGTTTGGAAAGAGTTTGGATAACGTGAAAGAAGATGGAAAAAATATTGCTCTTGTGATATATGTTACCAGCCCGAAACGTTATATTAGTGTCTTTGCGAGAATGATGCACTCTAACCCCAATGAACCTATTTTCATTGTACTCTGACCCTGTCCATAAACTTTGCTTCACATTCCTGAAACCAATCCTAAATTATTTTGAAATTATTAATTTCAAAATTAATATTTTATTATTGCCAAAAAAGATGAAACGGATCAGTGTAGGTTTCACAGTGACTAAAAAACTTTACTCTTGGAATGCTTAGATTTAAATTATGCAGTGTACTCTATGTATACAAATATATTACTATGAAAATCATACAGTCGGTAAACAAAATATTGGGCTACATTTTTTTTTACATATTCGCTACTTGTAGTGCATGAGGTAGGTACTGGCGGTGTCAGAATTCGGCTCAAAAATCACACTCAGGAGTCAAATTTTCGACATTTCAGATATTTTGAAAACTGCAGGGGGGTTTGGGCAAAATATGACCCATCGCCGTTTTCAGTAATTGGCATATTTTCGGTATAAAAAGTCGTAATTTGAAAATGAAAATAGGTGCAGAGAGTCAGAATTCGGCTCAAAAATCACGCTCAGGAGTCAAATTTCCAACATTTCAGATATTTTGAAAACTGCAGGGGGGTTTGGGCAAAATATGACCCATCGCCGTTTTCAGTAATTGGCATATTTTCGATATAAAAAGTCGTAATTTGAAAATGAAAATAGGTGAAGAGAGTCGGAATTCGGTTCAAAAATCACGCTCAGGGGTCAAATTTTGGACATTTCAGATATTTTGAAAATTGCAGGGGGGTTTGGGCAAAATATGACCTATCGCCGTTTTCAGTAATTGGCATATTTTCGGTACAAAAAGTCGTAATTTGAAAATGAAAATAGGTGCAGAGTGTCAGAATTCGGCTCAAAAATCACACTCAGGAGTCAAATTTCCGACACTTCAGATATTTTGAAAACTGCAGGGGGGTTTGAGCAAAATATGACCCATCGCCGTTTTCAGTAATTGGCATATTTTCGGTGTAAAAAGTCGTAATTTGAAAATGAAAATAGGTGCAGCGAGTCAGAATTCGGCTCAAAAATCACGCTCAGGAGTCAAATTTTCGAGACTTCAGATATACTGATTGACTTCAATCCCTTACTGATTGACCTCGCTGAGTTTGTGTTGAAAATATTCAGCTTGCCAATCAGTAATGCCCTGGTTGAACGGATATTTTCGAGAGTAACGTCTGTGAAAACTAAACTGAGAAATCTTGAATGGGAATGGGACTTGAGCTTTTGACATCAGTCTTGAGAATCAAAACATATCTTGAAGAAAATGTAACTTGTTGCTCGTCATTTGAACCACTCATGTCAATGCTTAAATATGAGTCTGCAATATACAAGAACGAGGTTGTGGATGCAGATCAAGATCTTGGTAATCTTCAACTGTAAAGACGTGGAAGGACTTCACACCCATTAAGCTTCAAACAGTAAATATTGGTAAGTTAGCCTATTATCATATTGGTTAAATATATATATGCAGAGATAATGTTAATAAAACAATTAAAATCGTTTAATGTACTCTATATATCATAATAGATTACTTTGAAACCCGTATCAGTCACTAAACAAAAAATTGGGCTACTCTTATTACAAATTCGCTAATTTTAGACCGTCAGCCGCTACTTTTAGCAATTTGAATCTGGCGACACTGCTGGCAGTCATTATGGCGCGGCGACGGTCAGTGTCGGTGTGTGAGTGTCCGGCACTCTGGCCCCTCCACCGCCACTATAGTCCAGTACTGGCACGTGACTACCTCATAACCTGCACCCTCAATATCTTACCATCCTGCTGGAGAGATGTCGTCGCTTGTTTAACACCCAGATGAGACTGGTAGGTCAAAACGTGTCTTCAAACTTGCCTCTCAGAGAGTCACCACCCTCACGCTGGGCCGCCATCTTTGTCTCACCAACTTACTGGCTCTGTCCTCTTTATCCTAGTTACTCTTCTTTAATCCTCACCTTTCCTATATTCCTCCCTGCTTCTCGATTATAACAAACACATGAGAATAGGTTTACAGTGAGAGGGGCGACATCAATGGGTAATATATACCTATCTGGCAGACGCTCTCCTGGCCTGCTATTCATCACTCCACAAGAACATTCACCTCCAATCAAACTACACATTTAGCAAACATGAAGGCAGGACGTTGACACCAATCAAGTGCTCCTTACAGGATGCTAAATAATTTGAGCTGCTTATAAAGTTCGATATACATAATCTTGTACTGTATTCTAAAACGTGTAGTGCCTCATGGGGCTTACTGTATTTCCAGTGTTTATATCCAACACGGCCACATTCCTTGGGTTAACTAACGGTAAAACATTCATGCAATGAACATTAAACCGTTAGCCATACTCCAAAGGATAAGTGATTCATAGGTCAGGCTGCGAGCACCCGCTTCCAACAGCCTGGTTGACCAGACCATCAATCAGGAGGCCTGGTCAGAGACCGGACCGCGGGGACCTTGACCCCCGGAGGGAGGGAAGTATCAGGGGGAAAGCGTCAAGCCGTTACGACTATTTCAACGCAAGGTTATTTCCCAGACCTGACTCATTCTTCAAGACGCCCTGCTTGCAGCTAACATGTTTTCTGGACTAGTTTTGTTAGTTTAATATAATGAGATGGAAATGGGGCAACTTGTAATAAAGTTAGCAGTTGCCAACTTAATGTTGTCATATAAAGTAAGTTTTGTTGAAAGCTATCAAATACACTACTGTGTACTGGTTCAAAATTAGGCATATTGTTCAGACAATTAGGAAAATATAATTTTAATATTTTGGAGAGGAGGAGACATGGATATTCCTAATGACGTATATATTGCTTTCTTTGGACTATTGACCGGTCAGTTATGTTTATATGCCAAGTTTTACTTCAACAGCAGCTCACAATAACGTATAGAAAAGTATTAGTTTATTGTATCACATCACCACCTTGAACACAGATTCGAATGAAAAATTGCACACAATTAAATTCCTGATAAAAACGTGCTTTTAGAATCGTTCTCTTCCAGTGGCAAAATATATTACAAATTTAACTTGCATTTTTACTTACATGAAATCCGGCACATTCCGGGAATGTTATAACCCAATTCATAGATCGCTGACTTAATGTTTCCAATAGAGAAAACTGAAAATTTGACCAGATTATAGCAATTGTTTGGCATTAGGAATGCTCAGTGCTCTTTTTAATCTACAAGGAAAAGTTATTCTATCTTTAACCTAACCCGATTCAATATTGTTTTCTGATTTTCTTAATTTATCTCTATAATATAATTCAAATTACCTACTTTAGTATTTTTTTAGATAGCACGGAATTTATGGTAGATAAATAATTAAATATTTTGAGTTAATTTTACTCGAATTTTATTTTTTAATATATTTATTTGTTAACCATCGCATTGTACGTTACTACTAAACTTTAAATGGAGGTTTTGTATTAGCATCTCATTACTTTTACTAAACATCATATTATAATTAAATTAAAACAGCTTAACTTGGCACGAAGCAGGATTATGATGGTAAGAGTTTTGACAGTATTACGTAGGCTATAACTGTCAGTTTGAAGAATCCGTCAGCAATTTGGGACAAGGCTATAGGTGGTTAGGAATATCCAATAATTTCTGAGAGATGATGGTATCCTGCTTCTCTTTATCAGAATCCATAGTTACTAGCTATGTTGCATTTCCTTATATCTATCTGATGTAAATGTTTCTCATAGAGTTGCTGTGAAGGTTCATATCCTAGTTGGTTTTACTGCTTCTAAAATTTTAATATCGGGTGCTGAAATACACTATATATAAGTTGCTGCTTCATGTGCAGTTTAATGACCAAATACAAAGGCATTAATACATAACATATTTTGTATAAAGTTTATTACAAAGATGATATACATACGACGCACTAACAAATAAAGTTAATCTGACTATATACAATAACTTACTAAATATTTTAGAAGAACAATCTGCATATACAAGAATCAAACACTTTTTAACATACATAATTTTGACAGGACAGATGAAACCCTCGTCACATTTACCAAGGATAATACATTTGGAAATGTCAAATGGGTTGAGTTTATGACACAACAAACTCTACTCAGTTCTGTGTGCTTGTGACACAACAAACTCTCCTTAGCTGTGTGTGCTTATGACACAACAAACTACCAGCGTTGAGAATTTATACTACAAGAAAAATTCTACTTATGGAGGTTGCTGGCCACGTCGCAACACCAAATTATCGGCCACATCTGTACAAATTCACATCCTACGACATAATACAACATTAACTTTATATCACATTATTCAATTTAGTACTTATTAAGGCCTGAAATGTATCTCAAAATTGTATAAATAGGAAAAAACTGATATAAGAGAGCGAGACGGAAATACAATCTGATATAAGGAGTCGGCTATAACCCCACACTCACATTACATAAAAACACTACACCACATTAACATATCATACATCATATTGCCGTAAACATCACCAGCATATATTAATGACGGTCTGGTAACTGGGAACGTGAGCTTCCGACATTAATAGGATTGAAACACCGTTCAAGGTGTCGTTACTGCAAAGATAGGCTCCACAACGGGTTGTAAGTCAGTCATCGGGAGATAATCTTCATATAAGGCACGAATTATTTGAGTGTGTGTATGTAAGTATCTAAGTGTAGTTACACGATGAGAGCTACGCTCGTGGTGTCTCGTCTTCCAAGCACTCTTTGTCATATAACGCTTTGAAATTACTGACGGTTTTAGCCTCCACTATCTTCTCGCCAAACCTGTTCCAACTGTCTACCACTGTTTGCGAAGGTGATTTTTCTAATGTTTATTCTGCAGCTTTGTTTAGTTAGTTTAAATCTATGACCTCTTGTTCTTGAAGTTCCGGGTCTCAGGAATTCTTCCCTATCAATTTTATCGATTCCCGTTACTATTTTGTACGTAGTGATCATATCTCCTCTTTTTCTTCTATCTTCTAGTTTTGGCATATTTAATGTGTGTGTGTGTGTGTGTGTGTGTGTGTGTGTGTGTGTTTGTGTGTGTTTGTGTGTGTGTGTGCGCGCGCACGCGCGCAAATATTAGCGGTGGCGTGAATTCCTAAAAAGCAAAGCATTGTTGATTATGGATAGGAAGTAGATAATAACACTGATTATGTAGTGGTTTTAAATAATTATTACCTCCAGGGTATCTCCTAACAGTGCCATTTGCTTATGCTAGCATTATTTTTACGACACGCCACTGTGTATTAGTATGTTTGGGTATGTACTCATGTGTTGTTTGTGTGAATGTGTGTGCTGTATGTACAGTACATAGATGAGGCTGCGTGTATGTGTTCGAGCCTCACAAATGCTTGGCAACAACATTGCTCTCGACTGACATCCTCTTGTCACTCAAAATAAAATATATAAAAAGAGCAAGTAGCAATTACCTTATACCGTCCATAAGAAAAAACATTGCAATTATCATTGTAGTAGAAAATAGCCTAGCATTAATTTATACAAGCACTAACTCCGATGTACGGGCATCTAACCATATATAATTTGGCCTGGGCGTATATACATATATATATACATGCACAGTATTTTGTACTCATTCGTATGCCTCCCATACCTAGTGAAGAATTTGCATATCTTGCGCTTATGAGCCTCAGGATTGACATTCAGTGAATGGTTGACTTGAATTATCTACATGATAAGCCATAGCGATAGGTAATCATTTTTCATAATTTATGGCCGTTCTATACTTGCTATATTTGCCTTTGATAGTCCAAATTCAAAGTATGGCTTCCATAAACCTGATAATCTCATAAGCTCAGATCGAATAATCAGTCGGAACTTGAATAATCCAATATTGGCAGAATTCTCAGATACAGCAGATTATTATTCTCAGTTCACTCACTGACAAGAGTGAGTGACTATATAATATATTATAACTGAAACAGCACATTTCCTCATACATATACATCCATTCAACTGTTTATGGTTCATAGTCAGCAACAGTTTAGATTGCTTATACAGCCAGTCGGTAAAGCTATAATGTACAGCGGTTAGCAAGTCTTTCCTAACATCGTGGAAGCACCAGTTCCATATACAGGAAACTAGCCGTCGTTGATAGCAGTTGAAATGCGGTTAAATTTGTTTGTAATTGACAGCTCACAACATATCGGCCACGATGTTCGAAGCCTAGTTTTACTTCCTGGTGTTATTTAATTACATGTATTTGTAAGTTTTCAACTACTGTATATTACGTCATTATTTAACGATATTTTTATATACTTTGTAGTCAACGATATTTTCGTATATTTTTTATAAAACGAAATTTTCATATACTTTGTAAATTCATTAGTATTTTTCACACGCTGCAATATTATTTAAACTTGGATATTTTCCAAATTATTAGTATCAATAATAATAATAATAATAAACAATAATAATAACATTAATAATAATAATAAGAGGAACAGTTTCCAATGTTTCATGTTAATGGTGGTAAAAATATAACTAATATTCAATTATCTAGAACACCTACGTAGATAACACAGTTATCTACGTTGATATAATTATTTTTATCCTTAAATTCACTAACACTGGACTAAAAGCGTGAATATACACACACTGATTGTTTCCTGTATTCGTATCAAAATAATATATCATTTGACTAATGCAAAACAGGATATGTGACGAGTTGTATATAAATCAGAATGAGTGTCACACTACCTGTTGATAAATCCCTAGTTGTTAGTCCCAAATCCCTATGCAACACTAACCTCTGTATTATCTCTGTAATAAATCACCAAAGTTACATTTCGTCGGTAGATGACACTTAACCCACGAAGGGAAGACGACCTACATGTTGTGTATGTAATCTGTTAGGTAACACCTCTGGCGTGGGTAATATCTGCCACCTGGGTCACGTCACATGTTCATAAACCTGCCCACATAGGTAACACCTCATTCCCCTTCTCTAATGACGTCAACATATACATTCAGTCGGCAACAATAAAACAATTTACAAATATTTTTCACGTCACGGATTAATTGAGACGTCAAATTCCAGAATTCCTTGGGTCTTTCTCAGCTTGTGGCGCATAAGGAGCAACGGTTTCAAGCTTAACAAGCCACAGTGTAGGACTGAGAACAGGAGAGGCTACCCGCTGAAGCCGTAAATGCCAAAACTCAGTTGAACTTTAAAATCCCGCCTGAAAAAAAATCAGAACAAATGGGAGAGAGGGACCGTTAACAGGCTCTCCTCTTCCTGTCCACATCGAGGCAACTAGAGTGTTATTGGCCCGCAGGTAAATTCAGGTAGGAGCCGTGTTGTCTGGTATCGCTCAAAACTCTGAACCTACGATACCTGGGATCGATTTCGTGGTGGAAATGCCGTAGTGAAGTGTGGACTGTGTAATGTCTTATCTTACCATGGTATTTGACATGACTCGCCTATAGTTTGGTCACGATCCATTCACTTGTAGAGTGTCCCGCCAATATGTATTCCTCCATATATCACCGAGCTCTTCCTGGGTTTACCTCCTACTGCCACTGCGTTTATTCTCTAGTTTTATATATGCCTTTCGCCTCGTCATTTTCACCCTTTCTCTTCACTTGTCCTCTTGTTTTCCGTAATTCACAAATTATCACTCTACCTCCTTATTTGAATTAACCGTTCCAGTTGATTTGCACTTTTCTGTCTTTTAATTTACACTTTTCTTATTTTCTCTCGATTTACACCTTGCAGTCTCTCGTAAACTTTACACCATTTCAAGTGCCGTTTACCGTGCTATTTTTTCCATCCATTAATTCCCATATTCACCAGATTTATCTCCCCTTCTCATAGGATTTATTCGCTTCTCGCTAGATTTCCTCCCCTTCTCACTGGATTTACCTCCCCTTCTCACTGGATTTACCTCCCCTTCTCACTGGATTTACCTCCCCTTCCCACTGGATTTACCTCCCTTTCTCACTAGATTTCCTCCGTTTTTCAGGGAATCTTCCTTGTGTTCTGACAAGATTCACCTCCGTTGCTCCCACTCAGTGTCTTTACTCCTCATTTTCTGTTCGTGGTTTCTTCCATTGCTGTGTAGTGGCGGGTCTACCAGTCGAAGTACTTGTGGTCACAGTCCCTGGAGGAGCCGCACCACTTGGTCTCCTGCAGCACGGGACACGCTCGACCCCGCCACGCGTGACGCAGTACAGTTCGTGTGCGTATCTGTCCAAGAGCCAGAAGGCCAGATGAGTAGTGATGACAATAATTATAATATAAATTAGTTCTGTATTATGGAATGAAATGCATCAATTGTTTTATTATTTAGAGCTGTCAGCGCACTTACCTGTTCGCCGATGCCGCAGGTCTTGCTGCACGAGGACCACTCTGACCACTCACTCACCCGACAGTCACGGGGCACGCGGGAACGACCTGTCCACGAGAAATAAGTTTGGTGATGGGTGGAACAGCTTTACCTGCCCAGACGAGCGCTCGGAGCACAGTACCACAATAATAATAATTACAACAATAACAATAATAATAATAAGGAAATCAGTAGGAACCATGAGGAGGATTCGAACCTTTTCACTTGGTACTCTCAAGAAAATACTTGGTACTGCTACTGCTTTTGTCATTGATACACCACGTTAATGTGATTTCATTGTGCGAATAATAATAATTTAGTATAATTATTATTCACAGGGATATGACACTTGCTATTTTCAGCTTATGGTGGAAGAAGTTTATTATCTTAATAAATATGTTTTATTTGATTCGCATTGAAAAATCTGAATTTTTTACCGAGCTCCATTTACATTTCTTGGAGAAATGCTTTACAATATTTATTTATTAAGAAGACAAACGTTACCCAAGTCATTTGTTTTACTAACATTCACAAGGCTGGCGTGTCTTTTAAACAACTGTTCAAGAGAGCCGTTAGTAACTAGGTGTATGTGTGGAGTTATATTAAGGTGTGTTTGTGGAGGTGTATTAGAGAGGTGTGTGTGTGTGTGGATAGGGTCACTATCAAGCAGGGAGGGCGCCCCGGTGCGGTTCAGTCCGTGTGTGCCTCACTCTCCCATAATTAACACGCTTCAACTGACCCTAATTTAGTTTTAGGCTATATACATGAATATATATAAACCATGAGGTGTACTTCAATGTGTATACAGTCTGAGTACTTTAGTTCTGAACCTTTTACAGAAAATTGAAGACGGTAATAACGTAAATAATGAGTTTCTTTGAGTTTACGGTCCAAGGGAACCCATGAGCGTAAATATAGAACCTTATAAAAGAAAATGGATATCAAAGTAAATGAAAGAAAACTAAATTAACAATAAACTAAAATAAAAGTGTATGACACACTTGTCCTCTAATTACAAGTTCCGAATGATGAGTGCTGTTATATAATAGTATAATGATACTTATATGTGGGGAAGAAAACCTATTTCTGGTTTATTGAGGTTTAGTTTGAGTTAGGTTAGTCTAGTGTTAGGGCAGTGTGTCGGGTTGAACCGTGTTAAGAGCGTCATGTGTAGGTTTAGTTCACGAGGTGGAAGTAACGAGCGTTAGTAAAAAGTGAATATTTATCCTGGTTCTGACATGCTGTGGAAGACATAGTTGGTCACACTTACGACGCTCCGTCTTTCTTCGTTGGTCCAATTTTCTTCCCTTTCCCATCTTTCTGCCTCTCCTGTTCTTTCCAATCTTCTTCTTGTACTTGTCTACAAGGATGTTCATGATGGCGTTCTTGTCGGTGCTCTCCTTGTTGTCGCCGAGGTCGGGGTCGACGCCGGATTTGGGTAGGATATTGTTGCTGACTTCGTTGTCCTGGTGGTGGGCCGTGGAGGCCTCGGTAGTGGCAGTAGTCGCCGGGTCTCGGGCGGGGAGCCTCGTGGTCGCCCGGGGCAGAGACGGAGAGAACACGCGAGCCAACTCGTACTCCTTCACCTGCGGGCAACACTTGTTTAACACCTCCTCCCGTTGTTGTTGTTGTTTAAGATTCGCTACTTGGAACAAAAAGTTCCAAGTAGCACGGGCTATGGTGATCCCGTAGTGGACTTACCTGGCACAGGAGCGGGGCTGGAGAAGAAGATCTGGGGTTTGTGACCTCCCGCCTCTCACCAGCCAAATAGTACACCACACATATAAATTAATTAGCCTAGAAGACATTAACCATCGAGTCTAACGTTTATGTTAAACTAAACTGATCCATATTGTGTATAGGCTGTTGATGTGCATGCTAACAAATTTTATAACTTGCTTAATTTAAAAATGCTGAGCTAAATGAATATTGTCCAGTTACTGACTCCAAAATGTGCCTCTTGCTATAACCTTTCCCACTACCACTCATTGACCAGCTAGAGTGTCCACAAGTATACTTTCTAGGACTTGCAGGTGATGTGTATGTTATATGACAATTATGCACACCTCTTCTGCGTCACACATCTCAGCTTCGTCAGTAAACAAGACCTACCACAACTATTCACATTAGGTATTTTTATTCAGACACTACAAGGCCTACTGTTAATCAAGATGTATCAGTCACCATTATTCAGGTGTGTACCTCCAACAAAGAAACATCGTTATAAATGGAGAGTAATATAATAAAACTACTCTCGTATTAATGAAACTTGGGTGTGTGCCGTTTATATCTTTTAATACTAAGTTCCACTGTGCATATATTTAAAGTCGTCCAATTCTAAACTTAAGGTAATGTAATAACATATATCTACCCACTATTTGCTGCGGAACGTTAATATAAGTCAAGTGTGAGTAGAAACCACTGAGTCAGTACGACTATATAGACAAATGTTCTGAGTCAGGCCTCCGATATTAGGCCTGGGAAGGTTAGGTTAGGTTAGTGTAGTTTGTCTTTGCAACATAAATAATCTTTTCCGCATTGTACAAATTCAATAGTACCGATTTCTACTTTCTGATTTCTTTTGTACGTGTGTATATGTACTGTGGTCCTGATCGGTACTATAAGTACTACCATAACAGGAGGACGGTCTGTATATAGTGTCCCTGGCTTATATATTTATTTTATAGTTGTGACGTTCATTGATAACAATAATATTAATTCTCTAGAATTATGTAACAAGCCAGAAAGGAAGAAGAGGGAGTTATGAAGGCAGGGGCGCCCCCCCCTGCCCATCTGTGCAAATAATCACCCCTTCTCCCTGACTACAGCACTCGTCACATGTGTCACACACCTGCCTCCAACCCCCTCATGTTGTACACCTTCCACTTGATCCATCCCTTCCCTCCCCCCCCCCCTCCCTCTTCGCCCCCTTCTCATATTCTACATTATTCTGCCCCATTTACCCCTCTTACTACCATCCTTCTCATTCTTCCCCGTCTTGCTTCCCCTTCTCCTGCTGCCCCAACCTGGCGGCCAAGACCGGCCCTCCAGCCTCTAGTTACCTTAACAATATGGAAGGTGGCGATGGGGGGGTGTTCCGGTACATCGGGGTAGTAGAAGGAGTTTGCTGGGTGGTTGGGGCTCTGGGCGGTGATGCGGGAGACAGCTTTCTTGGGCATGGTCGGCCAGTTGGGAGAGGTGAAGGTGAACCCGTTGTCCGTACCTGCGTCCAGGGGATCCACCTGGTGCATGCCGTCAAGAATAGATAAATGTTTTGATTATAAGGCTGTAAATAGTGTTGAAATTATCATCCAAAGGTAGAATACGAATCTGTGGGTTCAAGTTGGATAAGTTTATATTTATCAAATAATAGGCAAACACTGATAGGTTAATAGTGCTGCAGATCTATAGGATAAACTCCCAAGCAACCTCAGTTAAGGGAAATTCACTGGAAATGGGTCAATGGACCACCTACAGAGTCCTCTGCTCGTAGGTTCTTATGTTAAGGGAGCATAGAGTTACACAAATGCTTGTCATATATTATTCACATAGAGTACTGTAAGTGAATTACGGAAATTCACCATTAATAAGTTACATATGTATATGTATATGTGTATATGTATGTATACATAATTATGAATTTATGAACAAATGTATGTGTATATGAATGCGAATGTGTGCAGTTATGTATATAAGTCTGTATGCATATGCAGTAAGTTTGAATATGTATATATATATATATATATATATATTACAATTTATGTATAAAGATAAATAATGAGAGAGGGGGGGAGTGGTTACTGACCTCGAGGACGACGGACTCAACCCATTTGCTCTCTACACACAGGTCGAAGCTGTCCACACCGATGAACCAGTCGGGCGAGGGGACCACGCGGGAGATGAGGGACACCTGGTGAAGGTAGGTACAGCTGTAGCTCCTGGCTCCCGGCACACACACACACACACACACACACACACACACACACACACACACACACACACACACACACACACACACACACACACACAGTAAAGTGCCTGTGCATAAAGAACCTTATAAACAATATTTAAATAATCCCAAATACATTCAAGGAAATAGGTACAATAAGTAAATGTGTTTCCAAGAAAGGCAGAATATTTTGAAGGTGGCCAACTGATGGAGAAGAGAGAGAGTTAACGTTATATAACACACACCTTGGAGTGGTTGCCGTCGACGAAGAACTCTGCCTGGGTCTCTCCAACTCCCTGGGTGACGGGCGGGGCGTTGAACTCGTCGAGGACGCCTCCTTCACCCTGGCTTTGTGCGTCCAGCACATCTGTTTGGCCCAGCTCGGCGAACTGCTTCAAGCCCTCCGAGGCTGTTTCTCCCATTTGGAACAGACGGAAGGATGCGTTGTGGGAACGGCCTGTGGAGGAGAGAGAGGGAGAGGAGGTGGTAATGCTGGCATGGACTGGGAAGATGGCTTTGTGCACAGGGAATACGAACACCATTACTGAGGAAGGTGCTGGTTTCCCGCGCGTTTGACATATTTGACAATGCTTACCAGCACTCTCTTCTTACCAGCACTCTCTTCTTACCAGCACTCTCTTCTTCTCTTAGTAGCAATTTTCACATGCTCATGTCTGAGAGAAGCACACATCTCACCCAACTCAACCACACATCTCACCCAACTCGACCACACATCTCACTCAACTCAACCACACATATCACCCAACTACAGCCCGTCCTCATCAACAAGGACCAAATGCTCGGTCATCCAGCAGCCGACCCCCCCCCCCCCGCTGTTTACGAATGAAAAACACTACACGAGACTCACAAATGATGAACAACTACTCATAATTATAACCGTTCGAACAAATCTCGAACAGTACTTAGCTGACGAACTCTGTTCGAATTGGAGCTCTGTGAATGCTTCACCCACATATTACAAATATAAATAATCACCAACTGGGTACTGGGACCTTGACCAGTCATTCATAATGGTCTTATACATTAATGATTTTGACTGTGGAGTAAATAACGATTTAGGTAAATTCAAAAGAAGTCTTTATAAAACTGCAAGACGATCTCGAAAATTAAAATATTTGGAGGGAAAAGTGACATATGCATATGCAAAGGTATATGTGTGCCTTGAGGAGAGGAATACGACTCCAAATATCAGCTCAGTAATGTGAATAATGGTAAAGACGTTACAAAAGGGAAGTGTAATGCCAAGATCCAACACTTGCCAAGACGGTCCCCGCGGCCCGGTCCTCGACCAGGCCTCCACCCCCAGGAAGCAGCCCGTGACAGCTGACTAACACCCAGGTACCTATTTTACTGCTAGGTAACAGGGGCATAGGGTGAAAGAAACTTTGCCCATTGTTTCTCGCCGGCGCCTGGGATCGAACCCGGGACCACAGGATCACAAATCCAGCATGCTGTCCGCTCGGCCGACCGGCTCCCTAAACAAAGGTGAAAGGCAGTGACTGTGACCACGTAAATAATGTCTTCAAACTATCACCATTTACAAAGTTCTTGAAACTACTAAATCAAAACAGAGCTCATTGTTGAAGCTTTCAAATTAGGATCGAATTAGATGCTAAAATTGTTAAAGAAAAATATAATTTGTTTAATCTATCAAATAAGATAAAACTGGTAACGGATTAAAAGAACAAATTTAGAATTAGAACATAACGAGGCAAATATACTGGTTGGGCAATGTTGTTATATAAATGGTGAACCAGCCTACCATGGAGCATCAGCGAAGCGAATATCTTGATAACTTTTGACAATAGGATAATTTATACACATACAATTATTCCAATTGGCTAAACAAACAAACAACGAAATACCTGCCCTTCATGGACCAGTACGCATGTGTAGTGTTCCTTCGTATGATGCTAGCAAAGTTCCGACCGTTTTTATCTATTTTCCCACGCTTACTACCGATCTTCCCACGCTAATAATTTTCCCACGCTTACTAGCGATCTTCCCACGCTTACTAGCGATCTTCCCACGCTTACTAGCGATCTTCCCACGCTTACTAGCGATCTTCCCACGCTTATTAGCGATCTTCCCACGCTTATTAGCGATCTTCCCACGCTAGTATATTATTCGACACTTAACAAATTTTCCAAACTAACAAATTTGGTGCGCGTACATAAAGTTATCTCAGTGTTTACTGAAGAAACCAAGCAATGGTCTTGCCCTGGAGACGGCAGGGTCTAAACCACACCCCCATACCCTACCACCACGCCCACACCCTAACACCCCACTTCCCACGCCCCCCCCCCGCCCACTCCCCCCCCCCCGCCCACACCGTAACAACCCACACCCGCTAGCCCACATCCGCTCAAGAGCAACACCCACACCAGAGCGTCAGGATGTGTTCATAGCGCTAAGTACGAAACCAGTCGACCGGTTTGTCCTGGTGTGGTGGTGGTGGTGTGGTGGTGTGGCGGTGGTGTGGTGTGGTGAAGTTGTGTGGTGGTATTGGTGTTAGTGTGATAGTGAGAGTGGTAGTGATGCTGGTGATGTGATAACATTGTCGGTGAAAGTGTGATGGTAGGAGGGGGGGGGGGTGATAGTTATTGTGTATTGTGTCACCACGGGGTGATGGTGGAGGGGTGATAGTGATGATGCGGAAGTGACAGTGAGTGAGTGGACAAGTTTGAGGACTTAACTGTATGAGGACTGTCATACACCTGTTTAGTCCAGTCAGTATTGTAATGACTTATGTCACCTGTTGGGAATACAGTTTCTGGTTGTGTTGTAAGCCTGGATACATGAACTGAGAGAGAAGACGTGTGCGGGAGTTACGAGGACGAGGCGGGTGTACTGGAGAGAGATCCACGACTACAAGAACATTACACCGGAGAGTCCTCCTCCTCCGGCGTGTAGGGATCAGAATGATCTGGGAGTAACGACGGTATATCCCGCATGTCCGCCACCTGAGGGAACACATTCCAGTAGCCATCACAAGAGTCTAGAGAGCGAGGCTGCCACAACAATGTATATAACCAACATACACAAGACCTATCCTCGAGTATGCAGCTCCGGGCGGGAGCCCCAACCTGAAGATGCACAAAACTGAAACTTTAAAAGTTGAGAGACATGGAAGGTATGTGTGTCAGAGGTGCGGAAGGTCTAGTGCAATGATGTTTAAACACAAGTGAGGCTCACCACACGCTGTCATTACCAAATAGCAGACAGAACAACTTGAGGGGTGGAGACAGAGGCAGTGTTCCCAACACCGGAGCCGGACACACACACACCACCGCACATCACCCCCACACTCCCAACTACACGACACACCCTATAACAGCACATGGCTAACACAAATTCAATTTACGGGCTCACTATAGCCGGTGCTACATGGACATTTAGTGCTGAGTACCTAAATCTAAAACAATAACATATAAATTCAACTTGCTGCTTTATAATGAAATGCTACGATAAATAGGAGAAATGACATTAATTGCATGGAATGACCGGACGTAAAGGTGGGGCTAAGGAGCTATAGCTCGACTCATGAAAGACAAGATGGTCAGTACTCACACACAGTAAAGCCAAGAGTTGAGTGTCGTGTAGGCCCTCTGGCGGGGACTTGAGAAGCTCATGATGAATGTGGACAACACTAATTCCTGAACCAGCTAATGACCGGGACACACGAGGGGTATATGAGACCATGGTAATCCCCCCCCCTTCCCTCTATCCTGTCCCCCCCCTCGTCCCTCTATCCTGTCCCCCCCCCGTCCCTCTGTCCTGTCCCCCCCCGGTCCCTCTAACCTGTCCCCCCCGTACCCCTACCCCCCCTAGGGCTGAGAACTCTCCTCCCCACTTTCTCCCACAGCCCCCTCCATTATTCCCCCCCCCCACTCCCCCTTGACTAACATCTACAGCTCTAAAAAGATTATCTAAAAAATTATCTACAAAAGTGATAATTTTTCACTCTTGGTCTACCTCCATATCTACACTTTTCAGGGTTGAATTCGAGCGGCCATTCATGAGGCCATCTGTGCAGGTTGTATAACTGCTCTTGTTGTCTCTCGCAGCGTCCGTCTTTATCATTACCATTGTTCGTCTAGAATTATATGAGTTAATTTCCGTTTCCAGGTCATTACGGTATATGAGAAAGAGGCTTTATCATTGAGCCGTGTAGCACCCAGCTGTCCACCCTGACCTCTCCTACCTGGCTCTGACCCAGTGTCTCCTGTCTCACACTTGCGTCCTTTCCCACGGCAACACTTTCCCGCCCAGTTACTCGAGTGTGTGTGTGTGTGTGGTGTGCGGCACTGTGCAAGACTTCACCTCCAACACTGCTCTAATGTCTACCTGGACGGTGCCTCATATAATATTGTATGTTGCTTTTATGTCCACTTCTCTCTTCTGTCTTCCCGCGTAGTGACATCATGTTCTCTCAAAGTGTGTGTGTGTGTGTGTGTGTGTGTGTGTGTGTGTGTGTGTGTGTGTGTGTGTGTGTGTGTGTGTGTGTGTGTGTGTGTGTGTGTGTGTATGTGTGTGTATGTATTCACCTAGTTGTGCTTGCAGGGGTTGAGCTCTGCTCTTTCGGCCCGCCTCTCGACTGTCAATCAACTGTTTCTACTACTTTTTTTCCACACCACACACACACACACCAGGAAGCAGCCCGTGACATCTGACTAACTCCCAAGTACCTATTTACTGCTAGGTAACAGGGGCATAGGGTGAAAGAAACTCTACCCATCGTTTCTCGCCGGCTACTGTGATCGAACCCGGGACCACATGATCACGTGTCCAGCGTGCTGTCCGCTCGGCCACCGGCTCCCTGAGGTGTGTGTGTGGGAGAAACAGTTGCATCACCGGAAGTGTGGTAAATCCTACAGTCACGAGATAACACAAACCTTCTGAGATCGAGACATGACATAAGACTTTTAGAGATAACATTATATTTAATAACACATTTGCGATAAATTAGAAAACAATCAAATAACAGTAATGTAGAGCAAGGAAAGAGCACAAGTGTTAGTTATTTATAATTATCAAAGGGTTCCTACCTATTGGACGTCATTGGAATATTTAATAGCAAAATGTTTTATACTTTAATTGCGTTTTGGTTCCTAAGCCCATAAAGCACAAGGGAATGTATATAAATATTTTATTTCGTCACAATGGTACTGTTAAATCCTTCTAGGAGGTCATCAGGCTAACACCATTTTCCAGACTCGCCATCACAAGGTGGAATATTGCTGCACACTCACCACACATCACACTCACCACACATCACACTCACCACACATCACACTCACCACACATTCAAAGCTGCACAAATTGCTGATCTGGAGAACATGTAAAGATCTTTTACTACAAGAATCCACTTAATAAAACATCTGAATTGTTGGAACCGTTAAACACGATTAAATCTGTATTTCCTAGAGCGCAGGC